CGAGTTCTTGAGAACCTTCACAAATCACGCGTATCATTTAACGAACCCATCACGGGACTGTTTACATCTATTTTTCCGATGTCGCCTCTTCCAAGCGATGAAAATTCAATTTTAGAAGCGAATTTGCATCTGCCTCTCCCTTTGACTCATCCTTTTCACTCGGTCAGTAATAATTTATCGTCCACGGAGTTTTTCCACCCACGACGACGCGGCGCTCTTTTATGCGACAAAGCTGCACGTGTTCAAATGGAGATTCAAATGGAGTTTTTAAAATGCAAATCAACTGGGAATGCGAAAATCAGAGCCGCGAGGAAAAACATTTGATAACGAATGGCGATCATAAAATCGCACCGCCTGGAAGGAAGTTAAAATTCATGATTAGTCAATTTTATGTCTCTTTACGGTTGTGAAATTCTGAAGCGCCAAGGAATTATTCATTTTTCGTCCGTGAAAATACGTCGATGTCGGACATTATCATTGAACTACTCTTCAGAACGAAGAGTATTACTCAAGCTCGATACTCAATTTAAAACCTAAGTACAGAAAGACTGGAAATTGTATTCTTTGTTCTGATTAGCCTCGCAACGCTCTTGTACACCCTCCATCCCTCTTTCAACCTTTTTCGTACCTCAGTCATTATATTTCACAATTACAGAGTCAAAATTTCTTGGCAACTACATGTCATTATTTTCTCATAATTTCTCCGATAATTTAACGTAATCAGAATCCCGATCTCAGTTATCACCACCGCAGGTTCTTATTTCCTTCAGCGTTGTCTCGCGAGGCTCCCGGAAGCAGATTCTGCACTACCTCGCCCTCTCCATTACCTCCCTCCGTTTTCCATCCAGTTTCAATTTACCGGATCTGCCAGGAGTCTCCGATTCCCAGTGTTTTTTTTACTCCGTTAGGGCATTTCCCGAGAAATCGAATCGAGTCTTGTGGAGAAAAATGGCTCCCGCGGCGAGCTGGAGAACTTTCTCTCTCAGAATGCAGACGCTGAGAAGGATCCCCGATCCTTGAAGAATTTAGTCCTCCAGACCGAGCCGAAGCTTCCAACCGGAGAAAGATCCGCACATTTCCAAGTAGAATCCAAATTTTACGGAAGATACTCTCGATATATCATTCTTCTCGATAACTCTCGTGACTGTCGATAGATTTGTCCTCGAAGTATCAAATTTTGTACGTAGTCGACTCTATAGATCTACCAATCTATCAAATAGCCAAAAATCCATTATTGTTGGTTATCTCTACTTATTTTCAGCTTAGCTAGAGGAAATATCACTCTGTTTCACGCATCTTCGAGCCTCGAATTTAATCCTGAATTCATTCTCGCGTCCGTCACAGGACAAATTCTTCCGGTTAGTTCGTTAGAGCTCGCAGAGCTCGTCGACTGGAAAGCGCGAAAGCGTCGAGGATTTTGCGTTCGTCCAAGCTCGAATTTAGAACGGAAGAATTTTAATGCCGAACAACTCGATGACACTCGATTCGATTTACGTGGCAAGTGTTAAAATTGACGAGCGCTCATTGTATTCCAGCCTACGCGTTGCCGCGCGATTTAATTGGCCGGCCTGAAAAGTCCAGGTAAAACGAGATTCGGTTTAATTAATAGGAATTAGCGTATCCTGAATACAACATTGAAATAGTATCCGCTAAATTAATTCGTGACTTGTTCGAGGGGGGCGTGTTTGATGATTTTATGGCGAGCGTGCCATTTTGATGGCCGAGTGAACATCAATTAGGCTTTACGAGTATCGCGCGATTTCCAGCGACTTCGTCCCGATCGTAAATCGTATCTTTAGAAGCTAGAAATTACTGAACGATATAAATAAAGAAATGGAGACAAATTATGAAATATTTCAAATAAACTCCAATCTGGTTGGAAATACGAGCAGAAGTGCAATTTGATTAGCAGGAAAATGTACATGTGTAAATTTATAAAACGTTTTCGACCTCGAGGTCTGCTTCAGCTTTTGCTTCAGGATCGTATAAATTATCTGTAAAGCAGATAGAGTAACGTAAAAGAAATTTTAAAAGCCTATTAATATATAGATGTACGTTTTAAGATAGTTGCAATTTTAATTCTGTTTGAATTACAAACTACGTCAAAGTTTATTTGAAATATTAAATACTAACCAACTAAAATTTTTAATAACGGCAAAAAGTACTCGTAAAGGGAGCCACATTTTTAATTTCAAATTAATCAGTGCTATTTTAAATTACATCATCCATAATTCACGAAAATAAATATCTACTCGACGCAGGTTTAATTTGACGGGTTTATTTCGCTGTTTCATCGATTGTTCGACGTTCACGCTATTGGAAGTTGAAGTTTCGATTTAAATTTAATATATGCGCCCGTTAGCTGGTTTCATTGATATCCGAATCCGCCGAATTATACGCAAGACATATTCCCCTCGAATTCGGAGTTTCGAAAACGCTCGGCACCCTCGACAGCACGTTAACGACCATCGATACCTCATTGATTAATATCACCCGTGTGCCAACGCTAATTTTAAGTCGCTAATGCACGTTCGTCTGAGCGTTAATTTCCGAATTAATAGCGAGCACGCGACAGAACGATATTAATTTCGACGGTTACGTCGACGTTTCGAAAGTTGACGGAATTATCACCGTGGATTAGCTTGAATGCCGCCGGGAAACTCGATGCCGCGTCGCGACGCGGTTCATTTCTGGGCGGAACTTGTTTCAAGATTGAAGAACAACGCCTGTGTCTTTCGTTGTTTCACGCTTCGTCGACATCCAATGAGAAATTACGTTGCTCGAACGAGTCGTGCTCCACCGCAGCCGAAGCGTGGAGATTTAATTCAATGGAGAAATTTCGCAAGACGGAAAGTCGACGACGCTTTATCTCGAGCGATAGGACAGCCTTCCGTGCGCTGCCCAACGAAATAAAAGTTTTCTGTTTCTCGAGAATAATAACGCGTGGAATGGTTTTTTATACAGGTGTATTAACAGTGCTCCTTTTCGAGAATATATCTTTTTGAGAACAATGACATTCCTTGGGAATTTACTTGTGTAATTATCGAGGAAAATTGCAGTTACACGATTGTTACCAATGGTGAAATTATTAATCACCCAGGATTACCTGCTCGAGAAAATAAAACCTTTTCAATATACCTTCAAAACTCTAGCTGATAAATCACTTACACCTCTAACATCATGGGAGCACATAAGAAACACACCCCAAGTACATTGACACATACGCCAATATTTAACCTGTGACCCAGCAATCGACGCAAGAAAGAAAGAAATTAAATCTCCCACATTGAATCCTTAATCTAGCACAACCCCCAATTTGTTAAATATGGGATGCCTAATTCTACTCCAATTTCCTCCTTTGATATAGTACAGTAAATGGAAATCAAATGACAGAGAAGTTTCAATAAAAATGCTGTTACTCACATTCCATAAAGGTAAGAAGTCAACTCGAATACACAGCAGCCCTAATCTATCCTGTTGCAATTTATTTGACGTAGATAGCTGGATTTCGTGAAATCCCTTACGTTTATTTCCTACCCATCCATCGTTCCTTTGCACGCGCCTTTTAACACGATCTAGTATATACATAGTATATATATATATATATACTATATATACTATATATATATATATATATACTATGTATATACTAGATCGTG